GAGCCCCATCCTGCCAAGTGCCAAAGCCATTCCACGTGGCCCCAGGCTCGGATTCTGTTTGGACTTTGCCTGTGTAAGGACAGGGCTTCCCTGCAGTGCCAGGTGTTGTGCACACTCCCTGGATTCCCACTGGAATGCCAGATGGCTGCTGCTGCTCCAGGGGTGGAGTTCCCTGCCCAAACCTTGTGCAAGGCCTGGCAGAGTGCACAGAGCTGCTCTGGGAGCTCTGTCCTCAGTTCCCCAAGCCCTCGGTGCCCCTGGGCGGGCTCAGTGCCCCCTCTCCTGTGTGTCCATCAGGGCTCAGAAGGAATTCCCTTTCCTGGAGGGAGCCCCCGTCACTTCCACAGCAGCACAGGGCACAGAGCCTCTGCAATGAGGGACATGGAAGGAAGGTGGAGCCTGGTGAGGAGCCAGAGGAGGAAGGGGAGATGCCACCCTGGCTCCTCTGTGCAGGTGCAGGCTGTGGATCCATGGGAAGAGTCTGGCCCCAAGAACTTTTCCTTATCCATCTGAAAATCCACCCTGTTAAGCACCTTCAGTTAGGAATTCCAAAATTACCTTTTCCAATGTCCCCTAAATTGCCGAGTCCCAGGACACGGGTTTGCCATCGATTCTTGGATGGCTTTATGTCCTGCAGCACTTTCACAGTGACCCTTGAATTCCCTTTTTAATGCTGAAGCAAAGGTGAATGTAAATCATCATTCTTGGAAAGCTGGGAATCATTTCCTGCATGGAAACTGCAGCGTTCAAGGACAAGAAGTGCAGCCTCACTGGCAGTTTGGGAAGCGTTTCTCAGCTGAAGCCTGAGCAGGAGCTGCCCCCTGGTGAAACACCTGGTTTGGGAAGAGTTCTGGAATACGAGACAGCCAAGGAAACACCTGGCAGGGACACCTTCCCAGGCAGCTGCGGGGCCTTGCTGTGACTGCACCTTCTCCTGCTCTCCATCTCTGTCCCAGCACAGAGAATGAGGCACAGAGCTGCAGGTGGCTCGTTCCAAGCAGGCAATGAATGGTTTCCCCATTGGCTCCTCGGTAGCTGAAGGTTCTTTCTGCCCTTTCTAAATCTTTGTTGTGCAATGCTGGTAAGTGGCCAAAGTGCCAAGGGAATGGAGTGGAGGCAGCGAAGAAAAAATGGACTTGGACACTGTATAAACCCATTCTTTAGACATGTGATAGAGATGTGACTTTTTAAATTTAATGAGATCATATCAGTTAAAACCCAGTGCTTTGCTGCCTTTTTATGAGGTAGCAGCAGCTCATTCCCATACTCAAAACTCTTTTAAACATGATTTATTGTAAATGTGGGTCTTCTCTGTAGGGGCACAAATCATGGAGGCAGGAAGTGTGGCTGAAGACACTGGGAAATAATTTAATGATCCTTTGAGGTTGTTGTGTTGTGGTTTAAAATCAAGGTTTACTTTGCTGGTGCTTATTTTTTTTGTGGGTTGTTTGGGGTTTTTCTGAAGAGACCCTTTGGTTTTGGCTACAGAATTTCTTTACAAAAGAAGTTACAGAAATGAATAAAAGGGGCATTAGTGGAAAGGCAGATTTGTGTCTGTCACTCAGTTTCTCTTCGTGTAGAAGAATTCCCAGTTGGTTCCACAGAATCCCAGAGTGGTTTGGGTTGGAAGTGCCCTTAAAGGCCCCCAGTCCCACCCTGCCACGGGCAGGGACAGCCCCAGGTTTGACATCCTTGTGCCAGTTCAGAGCTGCTGCTGCTGCAGCATTCCCAGCTCAGACATTCCCAGTGTTCCTGGGCTGCAGCTGAAGCTCTGGGCTGGCAGAGACTTCCCTGCCACCGACCCGGCCCTGGCACCCAGCTCTGGCCTGAAGCACCCGCTCAGGCCGTGCCAGTTCACTCTCTGTTTCGGCTGAGGATTTGAATTCCTCCCACTGCCCGTGCCCAGCAGGGATCGGGACACTGGGACCCAGCAGAGCCCCCAGCTCTGCACGGACTCGCTGCAGCCTGCCCAGCACAGAGCCTGGAGCAGACCCTTCATTACCACATGGCTGGAAACGCGAGTGGAAAAAGTGTTCTCGTAAATCCTGTCAGGAAAACGAGCCCCAAAGCAGAGAATTCCAGTGAGACCCTCGGGGGCCGTGAGGAGTTCACAGCAGGATCGGATCGGCTGTGCCTTGGAGCCTCCCCGGGGCTCTCTGGAGCGCCTGCCCCGAGGCCACGGAGTGCCGGGGATCTGTCCCTGTCCCCGGGATCGCAGCCTGGGGTTAAGGAGGAAAAACCTTCCCACCAGGAGCACAGGGCAGCCATGGACGGCTCACCGGGGAGGGAGGGTGCAACCTCTGCTCCTCAGGGCTTCCTCCAGGATTTACTGGCTGGACTTGTGTCTGCAGCTCCGACACAGAGACACGGCAGGAGCTCGGGGTGTGCTCCTGACAGGGCACTGCAGGCTGAGCAGTGGCTGCTCCTCTGCAGCTCCTGCTCTCCTCAGCTCCCCAGTTCCCTACATGGAATTCCAGGGGTACTTTGAACCCGTGAATACTCAACTGTGCCTGACTTCTCCAGCAACTGGAGAACAGTAAATCCTTGGAGCACAGAACTCCACTTATACTCACCCATAGTCCCATTAGTTAAAAAAACTAAATGCAATTTTAAAATTTTTTTAAATATATTTGACTTTAAATTCTTGAACAAAACTGTCCCAGCTGTAAAAAGGAGGGTCTTACCTGTCAGTGAGCTCTTGTGTGCTTTACTGGGATTGCACCAACCTAAGGATGCTGCTGTGTCCCAATCACTGTCATGGCAACACCCCAAACTGTCAATTTGTGTCCTTAAATACATTCCTCCAACAGCCTGATGCGCTCACGAGCCTCAGTTTTCAAATCAAAGTTTATTAAAATGTCAAAAACAGACCTTACAGTTCCACATGGAAAGGGAGGGCGTACATGGGACAGGCCTGGAGTAACAAAGGCAGTAATGCTGCAGGGGAGGGCAGGATGGACAGACAGCCAGGGAGGACTCACAGCTCCCATGGATCCATCCGGGGCAGGGCTGGGGGTCCCAGCACAGCCAGCACGGGGAACCCAGCCGGGCTGGGGAGCACAGGAGGGACTGCCAGGTCTGCAGGGGCAGAGGGTGACCCAGCCGGGTCTGGAGGGGCTGAGGGTGACCCAGGCAGCTCTGGAGGAACAGGTTTGGTTTTTAAAGCCCCATCAAGCCCCAAGAGCCCTTCTGAGACCCCGACTTGGTGCAGCAGCAGCACCGTGGCTACCGAGGGCTCGGGGAGTTTGTGCTCAGCTCTGGTCTCACATCACAAACTCCTCATTTCCAGCAATCATCAGCAAAGAGCAGATGGAAGATTTAATACTCTGAGTCCTTAATTGCCCCTTCTGCTAAAAATTAAATACTGGATTCATCTGAATATTCGAGACAGACACATAAATACAAAAGCAGGTACATAGTAAAAAACATTGAATTTCTCAAGCACACCTCTCAGGCCACCACCAGAGAGGGCCTGGTTCTCATCCCAGCTTAGCACAGCCCAGAACTCCATCCTCCTGCCCCTCAGGGACCCAGCAGAGCTCTGGGTGCTGTGCATGTGGCTGAAGCCCTTCCCTGGGCTGGGCTTTCCTGCTTTTCCAGTCGGGAAGCAGCTCAAGGCACAGGAGCCACCACTGGCTGCTTGGGATGAGTCCTGAACATCCCTCACCTACAGAGGATCCTGCAGGGTTCAACCACGCTGATGCAAGGGGGAGGAAACTGTGAGTAACTCAGGGGCTCCCTCAGCCTTTTCCTGACACCCAGGGGCAGCCAGAGCTCCAGGGAAATGCCTTACCATGGGATTTCTCCTTCTTTGTGCACATGCACACGGATTGCTGGAGATTAAGTCAAAATGGACAGCACTGGATTACTCCTAAGACAAGCTTAACACAAAATACAACCTGCATTCAATACATGAACAATAAACAGATCAGCAGAGCCTGGGAAAGCACAGGGTGTCCTGTGCTCTGCAGCCACACCAAGGGAGGAGCCAAAGGTCCTGCTGCTGACTCTGGAGGAACAAACCCGGGTGAAATCCTGGAGAAACGAGCCCAGCCTGCCATGAAAGGAGAGGATGTTCCAGCCTGGAGCTGCAAGCTGAGCCAGGGCAGGCTGCTCCCATCCCTTTGAGCTCCACACCAAAGCTGCTTTCATCAAGTTCTAGGAGAAATCAAACAAAGCCTCGGCTGCCCCAGCAATCCCAGCCCAATCCCTGCTCCCTGGCCACAGGAACAGGAATTCACCTCACCTGCAGCCACTGCGAGCATCCAGGGCAGTGAGGGCATCCCTGGCTCAGCCCCAGCCCTGCCCAGGGCCCTGCTGGGCTCCCCAAGGTGACTCCAGAACCCACAGAGCTCTCATGAATCAGGGAGCAGCAAACAAAGGGGAGAGAGGAAATTAATGCTGGAGTGGAGATAATCTCCCCTTTATCTCACTGCACTGCTGGGCCAGCTCACATTTTCCACTGGAAGTCATTTCACTTAAGAGATGATGAGGGGAGATTAAGCAAAGTTTTTATGCATCATCTGAATCCTGGGTTTCAAAAGGCCTCAATTAATATTGGTCAGCAATTAATTATCCTTTAGCAAGGGGCTGTAGCTCTGGTTCCCAGCGGAAATCCAGGGTGGCTGAGGAGGTGACTCCGTGTGCAGATTTCATATTAAATTGGGATTTATTCCCACTTGTGCCCTCAGGATCAGGCTGGGCTCCTGCTCACACCATCACCTGTAATCCCTCTGGGATTTCAGAGGGCATTTTGTGGTTAATGCAGGAGGCACCCAAGTCCAATTTCCTGTGTCATTATGAGGATAACAACAACAACAACAACATTTGTCACCAAAATAAGCAAATAAGACACTCATGGAGAAAACCCGGAGCCATTTTACAGAGCACATTTTTTCCCCTCTCATTTAAACAGCCAAAAGTCAAATATTTCTACAAAATTCAGGATAAACTTTTCTTTACAGCTATGTTAGAAACCTGTATCTGAACCAATGCTGGACCAATCCATGGTGACAACAGACCTGCTTTGTAAAAGGCCCAAATAACTCCTATTTTATACAGATCTCTTCTTGTCCCAGTCTGTGCAGGCAGACCTGTAACTCACATCAGGCACACTGTAAAATTTAACAAACATCCAAAAGCCTCCAGTGCTGCTTGTGCTGTGCTGCACAGAGCAGCTGCAGTCCAGACTCAGCCAGGACATCCAAGGTCCTGTGTGACCAGGAGCACATCCACCATCAGAGGCCTCCTTGCATTTCAGATGTGTAACAAGGCAGTTCCTTGTCTCTGGAAGGGAACTCCCCAAACCAGCCCTTCATCTGCATTCAGCAGCAGCAGCAGCGGCCTCTGCGATCTGTTCTGGTGGCACTGGGTCCCCTCAGCTCCAGCAGTGTGTCAGGCTGTGCCAAGCAGGAGAGGCTGGCAGACGTCTCTGAGGAAGGAGCCTTGGCAAGGGAGGAGCATGGAAATTCCTGGTGGTGTTTGATCCAGTCAGTTCCCCCCGTGGATCAGGGCACTCCCACAGAAGTTTGCAGGACTAAAGTTTTATCAAAACCATCCTCAAGTCCATCCCAGTCAGTCCTTCCCACATCCAGCTTGTTTGTCTTTCATAGATAAAAAAACAAGAAAAAAAAGATTTCCATAGGAAACTGATTATCACTTTCTCCCCTCCCCCTCTAATATTTTGGCACAAATGCATAAGATATTCACTGCAGATATAAAGAAACAGATAATTGGACAGCACTGACAAAGTTATGAGACTTATTTGGCAAATGTGAACCATAAAAACAAGTGCTAAGGGTTTTTTCCAGTTGTGGAAATTGTTTGCCACGACAGTTGCTGCAGGGATAAAAAATATTAAACAGTCTGGAGCATGTATGTTTAAAATGAACATTTTATAATACAAGTAAATACACACTCTCCCAATTTCTCCAGGCAAAAACACATCTTAGAGCATTTTCATCAGCTGGAACAGTTTCCCACAGAGGGCTGGTGGAGTCTGAGATGTCCTGGCTGCTGCATGTGACAGCACGGGCTCCCCCTCCAGGGCTGCTCCACAGCCAGGCCTGGACATTCCAGCCCTGCTCACCTGGGCAGGAGCCCCTCGGGCTCTGCAGAGGCAGAGACTGGGAAAGCACAGCCCAGAGCTGCAGGGTGAATGCAGACAGACTGCACAGAACCAGCCTGGTGCTCCAGGCACGGCTCCCCAGGGACAGTCCTCCCTCTGGGAGCACTCCAGTCAAACATCGCAGCAGCAACACCACAAAGAGCCCCCAGGTGGGCTTTGGCTCCATGTGAATCCAGGCTGATCCTTGAGGGCATCGTCCCTGGGCACCAGGCAAGGCTCTGCCTCCTTGCTGCAAGTCCAGGGTGGGAAATTCCTTCCTTTTCGGAACATTCCTGGGGAATTCCTTCTTCTGGGTGTTTGAAATGCCTCCTTCCCCCTGCTGCTGCAGTATGGGTGTGCATCAGGTGGGTGGGGAAGGAATTCAAGAGCAGGAGCCATCCCAGAGTCCCACAGGCCCTGGTGTTCCCATCTTGGAGCCCTCAGGCCCTGGTGTTCCTGGGATGCTGCAGAGCCTGGAGCTGTGTGAGGGAAGGGGAAGCTTCCCGGCAGCTGGGATGGCTCCTGTGCCACACACAGCCTGGGGGCAGGTGAGCAGTGCCTGCTCTCCACTGAAACAACTTCCAGCTCTTCATCCTCACCAACTCCAGCTCCAAATTCCAACTGCAGCCCGACCAAAGTGCCGACAGTTTCAGTGGAAGTGGCTTAAATGGGTATTTAAAAACAACAACAAAACAAAAAAAACCTGCTTCTTTTTGTTTTTGAAGCAGATTTTTTTTCTCATCGCTTGAGTAACTGGGGAGTTGTTTACTAAGCCTTTGCTAAGGGTGTTGCAGTCCTCGTTCCCCAGGGCCCCAGGGGGTTCCTTAGGAGACGCTGGAGCAGCGGATGCTGGGGGAGCCCATCTGTGTCAGGACCTTGTCCAGCCACTGCAGGGGCCCGTTGAGGTGCAGCTCGATCCAGCAGGGAGTGCTGGTCACCGTCTGCCTCCTGCCAGGGGAGAGCACACAACACACCGTGACCCACAGACCTCAGCACACAGAACAGGCTTCCCAGCTCCTGAGCTGCTCCCACAGCCACCTGGCCAAAGGAGTGGCTCCCCTCTGCCACAGCCTCTGCCCTGCGCTGCTCATTTCTTTTAAAACCCCACCCTGTCCCTCCGTATTTGTTATGATCCCACAGGAGCAGCTTGCTATTTACTGCTCAGATTCCTGGGAACAGGCAGCTGATTCCCTGAAGGGAAACAAGGTGTCGATCTAAGCAAAACCCATTTTTCCTTCGCAGACCTTTCCTAGTTAGACAGCAAGGTCTGCGTTCACCAAATATGTTCAGTTTTCCTATGCACAAGACAAAGATGTTCACTTTTTACTGCACCCTTGGGTTTTAGTAGAAGGTGGAAGCGCTGGGAAGAGCTCACCCCAAGCCCTGCAGACCCTTCCTGCACCCATGGCCCTGCTGGGCCGGGGCTCAGCTGCTCTGACCTTGCCCTGCACAAATCCCTGTTCCCCTCCTGTCGCTCTCCCCGAGCCCAGACCCCACAGGTATGTCCAGAAGGCAAAGCACAGAGATGGGGACGAAAAGAAGGAAAGGGAGACCAAGACATGGAGCCAGGGGCTCTCCCTCCCTTGCTGAGGCATGGTGAGGTCTTGTTCCAGGCAGGGACAGCTGCTGTGCAGGAGGGAGATCACAAAGCAGGAGAAACAGCCTGGAAACAGCCTCGCCTTACACCCCCACTTCCCACAGAAGCTGCCCTTGGAATCTGGTGATGGGAGGGAGAACCTGAAATCTGTGGGAGCCAGGGACAACCAGAGGTGAAAAGGGGACTGACCCTGTGCTTGGGGGGCTGCCCTGAGCTCCCACCACCATCCCTGTCCCTGTCCACCACAGGCTTCTCCCCCTTCCCTGCACCAGATCCCTGGCACAGAGGAGCACTAAACACTCCCATCACTGCTCAAAGGTGAACCAGGGATCAGGGAATGGCCCTCTGGATGCTCCACAGGAACATGTCCATCTCTGCATCAGATGGAGAACTCTGTGGCAGGGAGAGCAGGATGGGCAGAGCAGCCCAGCCCTGCAGGGATCCCTGGCTTTCCGTAAGTCACGCTCCTCTGCAGCTCATTAGGGCCTGGCTGGGAGCCAGCCCTGCTCTGCTCTGGCCCCAGCTCAGGATGATTTCAAAACAAAATGGACTCCAAACATCTGGAGAAATGAAGAAAGTGGCAGAGCAATGTGCAGGGCCTGGGCCCCAGCTGCTCCTGAGGCCTCTCCCCCTCCTGCAGCAGAGCAGCCCCAGAACGGCAGCGACCCCACGGAGCTCGGAGTGAGGCCACAGCTTTAAAGGGTGTCCAGTGTTTCCACATCACCCTGGGCTCAAAACCTCACCACCTCTCCCTCTCAGAAAACAACACCCATTTGCCACTGAATTGCATTTCCCCTGTTTGTACTATCCATCCCTGCTCTCCCTTGGATGTTCGCTCTCCAGTGGGGTGACAGAGCAATTTTCCCCATTTTCAAACAGCACTGGCAGCTCGGCAGGGCTCTCCCAGGCAGGAGCTGAGGAGGAGCAGGCTCGGGGTGATCCCCAGCCCATTCCCAAGAGCCACAGCCCATCCCTGTTCCCGAGCAGGCTGTCCCCGCCCTGCAGACAGCACTGGCAGCTCTGCAGGGCTCTCTCTCCCAGGCAGGAGCAGGAGCAGCCCAGGGCCCCACCTGTACTCGGCGCCCCAGCCCTTGACGAAGCTCATGCGGATGGTGCACATGCGCGTCAGCTGGTACACGGCCTCGAAGCCCTGGTTCACCGACTGCGCCAGCAGCGCCGCGAACTCCTGGTTGTTAAAGATCTTCAGGTTACAGCCTGGGGAAAGGACACAGCAGGGACACGCCGTCGGCTCGGTGGCATTGGGAATTCTGGCTTTTCAGAGAACTCCAGGCTGCCTTCCCATGTCCTCAGAGCCCAGGGACAGGAATGGCCGCTGCCACATTTTCACAGGGAGAATTCTGAATGCTGGAGCACCCCAGCAGACTGTGACTGGAGAGACCAGGCTCGGGATCCTCCCCTGGAACCTCCTTCTCTCTCCTGGACACCACTTCCTTCCTATTGTAATTTAAAGCCTGCCTGAGGCTGAGCACTCGCCAGCAGAGATCCTGCAGGGCTGGAGGGGAGGAATGCACAGGCTGAACACAGGAGCTCCCTGTGCTGGATTGACACGAGTCTGTCACAGAACGGGGGAGCTCTGCAGAAACCACTCTGACGCTCCAGGAAGCAGCTCTGAGGGTTAAAGAGGTGCCAGGGCTGGTGCCAGGGCTGCTCCTGCTCAAATCCTCTCTCCACTTTCACTGTCATGTGCCAAACACGTTCCTTTCAAAACACAAGTTTTCCCCTGATGTTTAGCCCCAGCTAAACAACTGAGAACAACTTATCCAACTGTTCTTAGGGGGAAAAGGTGAAATATAATAACATCCTTCAGAGTTTAGATAAATAAATAAATGCCCCACTCTTTAAAAAGTGTTTCTACATTTGCTTTCTCCCAGATAATCATAAACAAGTTAAACTCTGAAACCAAGCACTCAGCTAAGGCTCATTTGGGATTACACATGGGCCAAGGCTGAAAAACAACATTTGGAGTGGGATGAATTGTGTTTTGCTAAAAATCACTTTGTGAGCCTCCTCTCCTGGGCTGGACTCATGTGGTGTGGAGCAAAGGGTGACCACAGCAGCTGCAGGAAGCACTGCCCACTTCTGGAAGCAGGCAGGAGCCCAGGGCTGCAGTCCCAGGGAGCCTGAAGGGAGGGTTGAAGGGTGGAAGTGCCAGGGCCAGGCTGAGCTCAGGGAAGGAGGAATAAACTCCAGGAGGATCCCAGTGCAGGATCCCAGCCCCTGGGAGCACTTGGGATCAGGTCTCCCCATGGGGGAGGGAGGCAATGACTCGATCCTGTCAACGAGGCAATGAAGAAACTGCTCCAAACCCAGCAAAGATTTGAAGAGCAGGCGGCCAAAGACTGTGGCAAAAGTGGGGAGAGCTGGATCCAAAAACTGAGCCTGAGCTGGGTCTGAGCGGAAATGTGGGCTTTTCATGTCTGCAGATGTTGACTCCAGCCAGGGTGGACTCCTGTGATGTGGTGGGGAATTAAGTCATGATTTGCAGCACTGGCAGCTGCATCTGAGAAAGGAAACCCATTAGGATGGGCCAGAGCTTGGAGCATATGGATCTCCTCTCAAAAGAAAAGAATTCAAATATTTCTAAACAAAGAAGTTCAGTTTTTAAATATATACAGGCTTTTAACTGTAAAAAAGTCAGCTTGTGTAAGCTTAGCTAAATAACAAAATTCCATTTCAAACAGCATCTCCTCTCTTACCAGCTTTTTTGCATTTATCTAACAAAAAAGCCTTTTCTTCCCAAGTAGATGAAATAAATTATCTTGTAATATTTCAGCAAAAACTTCAGACTGTAACCAGAATAACAAGGTGTCTGCAAATGTGATTTCTTTAGAACAAACCAATTCACACAGAGGAAGGGATTTTACTGGAGACCAGAAAAAAAGGAGCGATTTAAATCTATTATGGGTGAATCAAAATCAAGAGAAATTTCTTACCATTACTTAGAGGCACAAACAAAATTATCAACGTGTCTGTGAGATAATTACACTACAACAACAGACTGATAAAACACTGAAGGAACAAGGGGCAGATTGTGCTCTAAATTGTGCTAAGATTCTGTTCTGTTAGATGAATGCAGTGCAGCTACTGGAGGCTCCACAGCAGCTTCCTTCAGCAGTACCTCCATCCCTAAAGCTATAAAAATGCCCTGCTGGAATTGTCCAGTGGCTGCTAAAAGAGTAAAATAGATTTTCCAGAGAATCTGTGGGCTCCCCTTCCCTGGAAGTGCTCCAGGCCAGGCTGGACGGGGCTTGGAGCAGCATGGGGTAGTGCCAGGTGTGGAAGGGGATGTTCCAACCCAATGTAACCCAACCCAACCCATCCCACCGCACCCACGGTATGATTTTAGAGCAGCCCGAGCGCCCGGAGCAGGGCAGTGCCGGGGCTGTGTGTGCCCTTACCTGGCGGGATCTTGCACACCGTGGCCGGGTGCCAGCCGTAGCGCTGGTTGCAGTTCGGCGACTGCACGAAGATGGCGCTGTCGCTGAGGCACTCGGCGAACACCTCCCCGCCGATGTAGTACAGCCTCACGCCGCGGCCTGCCACACAGCGAGGGTCAGCGGGAAACACCGGGAAAAACACCGGGAAAAACTGAGCTCGGGGATGGGACGGCTCCCTCAGGGGGGAAAACTGACCCTGGGCAGGAATGGCTCCCTCAGGGGAGATGAACTGACCCCGCGGCTGGGACGATTCCCTCAGGGGAGAAACCACCGAGAAAAACTGACCCAGAAGTTGGGACGGCTCCCTCAGGGGGGAAAAACTGACCCTGGGGTTGGGACGGCTCCCTGAGGAAAAATGTGCCAGGGGCTGGGATGGCTCCCTCAGGGGGGAAACACCGGGGAAAACTGACCCGGGGCTGGGACAGCTCCCTGAGGGGGAAAAATACCCAGAAAAATTGACCCCGAGGCTGGGATGGCTCCCTCATGGGGGAAAACTGACCCCAGGGCTGGGACAGCTCCCTGAGCCAGCTCTAAACCAGCAGCTCCGCCACCACTGATGGAAACTCTGTCCCACTGGACATTCCAATAAACTGCTCCATGGGCAGGCGAGCTGAGGGAGGCAGGAGCAGCAGCTCCAGTTGGAATTGTACCTCCAGCCCCAGCCAGGTCCCTTCAACTCATGCACACTGATAGTTTCCATATGAATGTTCTATCAGTTAACACATGAAAATCATAATTTCTATCAGTTAACACATGAAAATCATAATTTCTTCTGAAAGTCATCCCAGCTGGACACAACTGTTTGGAGATTTACTCAATGATTTAGAATGGAATTCCAAGGCACTTCCAAATCCTGGCCTTTTGCTGGAGATGACTTTGTGTACCAGGACACATACATTGCCCATAGGTGTTTACACAAGTCATTAAAATCTCAGTTAATAAAGGAACAAAGTTGAAGAATACATTTTGTTGCTCAAAGAAACATTTGATGTGGTCTCACATTCCTGTCTGAATGCGCTGCTTTCATCCTTCCACCAAGCAGGACTCTGCTGCATTTAAAATCTGATTTCTGAATCTTGGTGGGTTCTGGGAATATAATAATCTTCAAAACAAGTGAGAAAAGATCGTCCTGTGCAAAAGGGAGGATTCTCCGATTGCTCGGGAAAGGGGAGCAAAATTAGGACAAAAATTGGGTTCATTTTCAATAGGAGTCAGCAGAAAAGAGTAAAGAACAAGCAATTGACTTTTAGCAAAATTGCAGAAATTTGGGATGTTCCACTTAGCACAAGTTTCACTGAGAACAAATTGGCTGGGACCTTGGAGGAAAAGTGGAAATTGAGATGACAATCAAGGAGCTCAGTTTCCATTTATAAAAGGTCACTCAGAAAATAAAACAGTGCAGGAAGGGAAAAGAACACAGAAAATTATCCCTGACATCCCTCCAGATACACAGTGTGTGAAATGGTTTAAAATCTATGACATGCAGCAATTTTAGCATTCCTTGGTGCATTTTTATATTACAATTATGTGAAAAATCACAATTAGTGTTGTTGTATGGAGGATCAGCCTGATATTCCCACCCTAAACCGGGCTCTAAACCAGCTAACAGAGGGTTTTGTAGAGGGGTTTTTGAGGAGGGGTATTTGAGGAGTGGTATTTGAGGAGGGGTTTTTGAGGAGGGGTTTTTGAGGAGGGGTTTTTGAGGAGGAGCTTTTGTAGAGGGGTTTTTGAGGAGGAGTTTCTATGGAGAGGTATTTAAGGAGGGGTTTTTGAGGAGGGGTTTCTATGGAGGGGTTTGGGGTTTCTATGGAGGGCTATTTGAGGAGGGGTTTCTATGGAGGAGTTTCTATGGAGGGGTTTCTACGGAGGGGTTTTTGAGGAGGAGTTTTTGTAGAGGCGTTTTTGAGGAGGGGATTCTGTGGAGGGGTTTTGAGGAGGGGATTCTGTGGAGGGTTTTTGAGGAGGGGATTGTGTGGAGGGGTTTTGAGGAGGGGATTCTGTGGAGGGTTTTTTGAGGAGGGGATTGTGTGGAGGAGTTTTTGAGGAGGGGATTGTGTGGAGGGGTTTTGAGGAGGGGATTCTGTGGAGGGTTTTTGAGGAGGGGATTGTGTGGAGGGGTTTTGAGGAGGGGATTCTGTGGAGGGTTTTTTGAGGAGGGGATTGTGTGGAGGGGTTTTGAGGAGGGGATTCTGTGGAGGGGTTTTGAGGAGGGGATTGTGTGGAGGGGTTTTTGAGGAGGAGTTTTTGAGGAGGGGATTCTGTGGAGGGGTTTCTATGGAGGGGTTTTTGAGGAGTTTTTGAGTAGGGGTGTTTGAGGAGGGGTTTCTGGGGGCAGCGCGTTACCGATGTGGCGCCGGGTGAGCTCCACGGCCGCGTTGCGGTTGACGTTGGACAGCAGCCCCAGGCAGAAGCGCTCCGAGTTGGAGGGGTCGGTGAAGCCGTCCACGGTCATGGAGGGCTGCGAGGCGTGGAAGGTCTCCCCCACCCTCTGGTTGAGCTCGTAGTAGGAGATGGAGCACCAGAAGGCCGGCTCGCAGTAGGTCACGGGCTGCAGGTCTGCACCGAACAAAAGCCACATCAGCCACAGCAAGGGAAAGGGGGATGGAAAAAATACAACCCAGCTGGTTTGGAATATTGTTCTGCTCCATTCCTCAGGCTCCCTTCAACCAAGGTTTCCTTTTAATGGACCACAGCAAGGAGGTGACATCAGCCCTGGAGCTTCTGGCACGTGGAGCAATCACAGATAGTCAAAGGCATTACTCACTTAGCAAGTGGGGTGTCACTGAGCAGCCCCACACTTGGGGGAAATTAAATAAATAAACTCAGCTTTACTATGAAATGTGGGATCCCTTTTAGGCAGACAGTTCCTTAAGGAGACAAAGAAAAGGAAGGAGCAGAAAACCTTGGTAAGCATAAAGCACAGACCTGCTGTCCATAGCACAGGTGTGCTGCACCCTAAATCTGTGCACTTGCAACCAGTAAATCCAACTTTCCTTCTCACTGACCCTGCTGTGACCTCTCTGGCACTGGTGAAACCAGTAGAGGCTGAAATATGCCCCAAACTGCCTTTAACAGTGGCATCAAAGTGATTTAAAAACCTTCTCCCAGTGCACTGGATCTCCAAGCATCACAGGAAAATCCATTTTCCCAGCAGGTGGAGGCTCAGCTCTCCCCCCGGGGTCCTGGTTTGCCTCATGGACCGAAGCCAAGGGGCTGAAGGTGAGGAGCAGAGGGAGCCTCAGGAAGGCAGGTGGGCACTCAGACAGCACTGAGTGATTTCACTGCTCTACTGAAGCCCAGGAGACTCCAGCAGAGCAAGGCTCAAGGAGAATTTCCTGGAAATGCAGCCCAGGGAGGTGCCAGCCCTGCTGAGAGCCAAGCTGAGCAGGGACTGCAAAGCAGACCCAGCCAATTCCTGAGTGCTGCTCCCCACATCCAGGGCAGGAGAATTCCCTCCAGCCCTACCCCAATTCATCACTTCATCCCCATTCAAATGGTGCTTAAAGACAGAACAGAACAGCTCCCATCTGGCCAAGGAGTTAACATCAAGCAGCAAAACCCAGGTTTTTCCCATCTGCTGCTCCTGCAGGGCTTAGGAGAATGTGGGGCTTAAGAGATCAACTCCAAAAAAATCCAGGACAGGTTTTCACCACCCCAGCCTCCTCTCACACTGACCAGGGTCTCTGCAGAGGTCTGGGAGCCTTTTCTCACCTGTACCTGTTACTCCATAACCTTCAGGCACAGGCTGGAGCAGCCACAAGGCACCTTGGCTTCCTCTCCACTGTTGGAAGAGTTCCCAAAGCAGCCATTAATCAGGAAAATCACTTTGCTTTCTGCTTTGTTACACGCTTTGCTGACAGCAAATAAGGAATTGAATAGAAGTACATCTGGGGAACTCTGTAATTCTTAGCAGGCTTCACAATCCATGAAATTTGGAGCTTGCACTCATCCCCAGCTTCTTTTACCTGCCACTTCCTCACATTTGAATTTTACAGCTCAAAGCAAGCCCCTCTTTGACAGAAACAGATTGTTTCACACATCCAGGAGTGCCACAGGTTTACTGTCCCTGCCTGTTTCCCCTGCACGTCCCATTTGGTGTTCCCACTGGAAACTGCCACAGCAGACAAGCTTTCCCAGCAGCAGCTGAGGCCACCTCAGGACTGCTGTGGGCTCTGAGGCCCCAGCAGAGTTTGGAGAGAGGCCCAGCAAACACCAGCTCTGCCCAGAGCCTCCCAAGGTGAGAGCACCCACCAAAGAAAACACATCAGTTCCACATGACTGGGCTCTTACTCCACAGCAAGTGCTTTTCTAATCAAAACGCTGCTCAGCTCCAGAAAAATCAACTTGTGTTGATCCTTAAGTAATACCCTCAGGTTGGTGCTATTCAAGTTATAAAAACACTGAAACCTCTCCATGGTTTTGTGGTCCTTTCCTTCAGAAACCACCTCCACCTCGCTGGGGCCCAAGGGAACTGTGGATTCCTCACTGAAGGATGTACAGAAATTTTATTTCTGGCTTATCTGCAGCCTGAGGAAAGACATAAACCAACAAATCCTGGTTTGAGGAAAAGCTTGTCTCTAAAAACTGCAACCAAGTTTTTAATGATGCTGCTTTCTCCTCTGATTTGTAGTTTTAAACCTCAGCTTAAGCTGCTGTGGGATGGGCATGTTCTCTCTTGTGTTAGAGCTGCCCTAAATATTCATTTTCAATTTATGGCTTCAGTGTTTGGGGAAAAGGAAGAGAATGCAGCTCTGCTAAAGCCAAAGAGCCCTGTGGGGGTACACAATCAATAAAAGAGGATACATGAAACCCAGGCAATTCCTGCCTGAATCGTCTCTGCACAATTTCAGCCTTGACTCAGAAACAGCTTTGCTGTCAGAAGTGTCCCCTGGGCTCTGGGATGGTCCCAGCCCTGCATCCTCCCTGCCAGATCAAAGTCCTGGGGAGAATCTGCTGCGTGCTCTGCTGCCCTGTGACACAGGGAGTGTTACCCTGGTTCCAGGGAGCGTGCTGATCACAGTGTGGCCCACAGCTCAGGGATGTTCCCAGCTGTGCCAACCCCAGCCCCCTCCTTGGGAACGAGGAGATTCCCTTCCCCCTGCAGCAGGGAGGGCTGGCTGTGCCCTGGGACAGGGACACAGGGACAGGATGTGACAAGGGCCATGTGCTCCCTGCTCTGGCAGCTCCTGCGTCAGGCCCTTCATGGGGCAATCCCTGACAATGGATTTCCTGTGCTGCAGGGATGGCCCCCTCGGAACAACAATGGGTGTGTGACCACAGGGCTGCTCCTCAGCCAGCCCCAATCCCTGACTTCGTTCCCAGTGCCCACAGAATGCTGGCAACTCTCCTTCCATTTTGTTTTTAGTATTTCCCTCAGTTTGTGTTTCAGCAATAGGGAAAGAGATCCTCGGATCTTGTGACTTCCACTTAAAGCTTTTGTTTGACAACTGAAAACTTGACAACAGTAATTTGGAACCAAAACTCCAACACTTCCAACTCCAACACAAACTGCAAGGATAATTTTTTTAAAAATCCCAATATGTTACCTTGCAACACTTTTGTGCCTGGGAATGGAAAGATGAAATTCCCTGAGCTCCCTCCATCCCAGTTTCAGCCTGCCATGGAAAACCTGCCCTGCCCTCGAGGTAACCCTGCCCCTGGTGTCACACTTGGTTTGCCTTGCACTGCTTTATTGCCTCTGCTACTCCCTGGAATATGGCCATGGGATTTGGGTCCAAAGTTCAGTTTACACAAAGTGAACTGTCCTAAAAGCTTCAGGTAGCTCTGCTCAAACAAACACAGCAATCCTGGGACATTGTTTTCTTCACGGCAAAGCCCCCGTTCTGCTCCAGAGCTGAGAAGCTTCCTCCATGCACACACTGCTGGGGTTCGGATTTCTGTTCCATTTCCTCCACAGACACACAGAAAGCCTCTTTGGACTCCTGCAGAGCAAAGTCCAGCCCTAGACAGTGGAGTCTGCTTATCCAGCAACGACAGGAGTGCTGCAGCAGCTCACCAGCAGCTCCTTCCTGGGCTGTGCCCATCAGGCTGAAGGTCTGACTTCCCTGAGAGCAGCTCCTTGCTGCTGATAAACCATTTACAACACTCATGTGATGGCAATTTTGCCCTTGGACACTTTTAAGTGTGGATCAGCTGCTCTTTCATTTATTATTTCGTAGCTTCCTCAAAGGCAAAAATTTACAATAAAATTAAAAGCAACAAGAAGTTCTTCATTTGTGGAAGCTCCTGCCTGAGAGCAATAAATATGGTTTGCAAGAATTCAAAGGCATTTTTTAATGCTGGTAAATTAAACTGCTCCTCTGCTGTCTGCTCCTCAGACTACAAAGAGACTCCTCATGCTTTACCAGCTTCACCTGCTCCTTTTTTTGTCCCCAGACAGCACCTGAGACATCTGATGTGTTACCAACCAGTGTCCCTGTCAGGAAGGATATGGGGGTCTATTTCCTAGGAACTCCTCTCTGCCTTATGGAAGGCAGATACCACTTGCCAGCTTGAGTTTGTTACATGGAATTGGCTTTTTAAGTTGGAAAAAAAAAAAAAAAAAGGAAGAATTGCAGGAAAAATTGCAAGAAAATCTCATCAGTTCTCACTGGGAAAAATGAAATAAAAATGTCTCAGTCACGCATTTTCTTCTTGGGCTGTAGCAGTTAAAGAAATAAAAGTTTTGTGTCACCATGGCAATATTAAAAAAGGAGGGGGGGGAGAAATCCTCTGTTCAACAGCCCCAAGATATCTAAAAGTCAGCCAATGACTGACAAATTTTGGAGCAGTGTCAAAGTCCTGCGTGCCAGGATTAAAAGCGTATGTAAACTTTATGGCCATGGTTATTCCAGAGGAGTCTCCAGTGGGCTCTGTCTGCTGCCTTAATGAACAGTTGGGGAGCTGATCCTGCAGCCAGGCAGAGCTGGGAGGGATTTTTATGGCACAGCAAATCCAAACAGGGCAGGAGCTCAGAGTGATGGAGATCAGAATGAAAAGACAGGGTGGAACTTTGGAGATAACAGAGGTGCAGAGAGAGCCACAAAAGCTCTCCCTTCTCCTCAGGGTTGCCCTGCCCTGCTCTGTCCCAGTGCCAGCCATGGCCTGGCAGAGCCCTTGGGGCTGGAATGTGCTCCCTGTGCCCAGGATGGAGCTGGGGGGGGAAACAACTCCAGACTGCAGAGTGATTTGGGTTTGGGAGAGGAAAAGCAGCTGCTGTGAGCCAGATCTGTGCTTTGAGCATCTCCCCCACCAGCACCACCTCTGGAATGCCGACCATGACCTCTCCATTCCCTGGCATTCCTGCACATTCCCTGCTCATTTGGGCTCTGCAGCCCCACACCAACCAACCTCCTCCACTCCTCTGTGCTCAGACCATGCTCAGTCTCACAGAATCACACAATTCCGGGACAGGTTGGGTTGGAAGGGACCTTAAATCCCATCCAGCTCCATCCCTGCCTTGGCCAGGGACACCTTCCTCTGTCCCAGGGTGCTCCAGCCTGGCCCTGGGCACTGCCAGGGATCCAGGGGCAGCCACAGCTCCTCTGGGAATTCCATCCCAGCCCTCCCCACCCTCCCAGGGAACAATTCCCTGCTCACATCTAACCCAAAGCTGCCCTATGGGAGATTCAAACCATTGGAATACTGCAAGAAGTGCACAACTTCAACAGCATCATCCAAATGTCACCCTCTTGGCTGTAATTACAGCTCCCAGGATCATGTGCTTACCCAGGTTGTTGTGTGCTGGAGACATGGGGTTTGGTGATAAGTTTGGAGAACCTGAAAATCAAGGAGGGGTAATTATTGCTATGGAATCTGCACCAGGAAAAACATTCACAGGATCTGCAGGGCTGCCCAGGCTTGTTGGAGGGACAGCCCAGTGCTCACTGCAGGCTCATTTCTGACACGGCAGCTTCTCTCATGTTCACTGCTCCTTACAGGAGCTCTCAAATATCAACTTGCTGCCCCTTCACAGGGAATTCACTGGAGTTTAACCCATTAATTTCCCAAACTGAGCAGTACTTGGGTGTTTTGATTTCAGGTATCATCCTGACAAACTCAGTTAGCTGGGCATTAAAGAGCTTGGGTGCACATTGCCAGACAAAATAAAATTAAAACCATAACATTTATATCCCAAATCCTGCTGGGTTTGGGACAATGGAGTGTTGGATCAGGTTAAACAGATCTGACCAAAAAGCTGTCAGAGTTTTATCCTCCATCATGGAAATTTGCCACCAATTCTGGGCCTATAATTTCAGTATCTGCACTTGGATGTCCCATGGATGCAGACAGGGGGTGCAGCCCATTTTTACATTTCCTTTCACATTGTTCTGAGCTGGTTTCTTTAATTTTTTTTCTATAAAGACGGAAGTCCATGACATCTGAACATTAATATGGGCTATTTGAACATAATATATGGATTATCTGAACATTAATTAGGTACCCTCATTCCAAACCTGGCTACTTCTTTTTGTGGCAATGAGAGAAAACCTGGACATTGAACTTTCTTTGGGACACAGCCACTAAATTAAATCCCCAAAGGTGACTCACCTGCATCCATGCTGGGGTTCATCTGGTGGTCACTGGTTTCTCCATCCTCACTCAGGTAGCCTGGAGGAGGGGTCTCTGGAGGCACAAAACCATCACGCTGTCAGTGAACTGAAAACTCTGGATTTTAGGCACCAAAAACATTCATTTTGTCATTCACAAGGAGCTCAAATTCTTTTTTATTACTTTTCTTTCTCAAGCTGCTGGAAGGAGGAGCCAGCACAGCCAGGGTGATATCCATATTTGTGAATAACAGAGGAGGGGGAAAACAAAAAAATCCGGATTTTCAGTCCCATGAAACTTTAAGCCATGGAGGCAGTTTTCTGTCCACATATTTCTCCTCTCCTGGAGTGCAGCTGCATAACTTGTCCATGCAAATAAGGTGTAAATTGCTTGTAAAATAGATACATAAATAGAAGAGCTCAATTCCATCAGAAATTTGGAGAGTTTTACTCAAAATGGCTGAATTTCATCCAAATCTCAAGCCAGTAAGGAAACATCCAGTTTAGATTTCACAATAAACTGAGGCTGCACCACTGAACGCAGAGGTGAGTTTAAACCCAACAAAACCAAGCCATGAACATGCTGAGCGCCCCATTTACAATTCCCAGCTATTCCTGCACTCTGTAGCTCCAGAGGAACGCTGGAAAGGAAGATTGCCAGGTCGGGACTGCCTGTGCTCTCTGCCCCGTCCCTCTGCTCCCCTATGGAAGACACAAGGTACCTGGAATGTAGTTGCTCTGGGGCTCGATACCTGCAGGGAAGTTAGTGTTCTCTGGGATGGAGTGGCTGTAGTCATCCAGGGGCGGGAACTCGGCCGGGATCTCCGTGTGCCGCGGCACCAGCACCGGGGGCAGCACTGCCAGAGAACAGCAGTGAGGGCAGGGAACAGCAGCGACAGGAGTAAACAAGGCTGGAGAGACAGCTTTAAACACGGGGCAGCACCGGGGGCAGCACTGCCAGAGAACAGCAGTGAGGGCAGGGAAACAGCAGCGACAGGAGCAACCAGGCTGCACTGACAGCTTCAAACACAGGGCTCGTTAAGGGACAGGATTTGATGTTTGCCTCTGGAATAACAGCAGCAGGTGAGGATGCTGCTTGTTCCCAGCTGGGAATGGGATAGAGCTTATCTGAGCACATCTGCTCCCTGTGCCCCCTTCCAGCTCTGCTGGAAACACCATTCAGGAGATGGTGCACCCCATGATTCCCAAGGAATGAGTTTCCCATAGGATGGAGCAGGCAGGTGGGATTAGCATAAACATCCTGCCTGGCTCTGCAGATCTGTGCTGACATGCAGCAGAAGCTCCTGCAGCTCCAGATCAAAGAGGCAGGAGGAGACTCCAGAACAGGAAGCTTGGAGCTGTTCTTAGACCCAGCTCAACAGTTTATCCTGAATTTAACCCCAGCAGTGAGGGATGCACAGAACACTGCCATGCTTCCTGCTGTGAGTTATGTGCACACTGGGAACTTGCTCACTGGGATTTCATCAATTCCCAACGATATTTTCCCTGAGAGCAAGTTCACAAATTATGCTACTGCAGAGAGGAAGGGATTATCACCAATAATAGACAATGCCCTCAGAGATGCCCCCTGCTGCAGGAGAGGCTGGGGGTGGCAGGGATCCCTTGGGAATGCCCTGGGAGATGCCCCTGCTGCAGGAGAGGCTGGGAATGGCAGGGATCCCCTGGGAATGCCCCTGGAGATGCCCCTGCTGCAGGAGAGGCAGGGAATGGCAGGGATCCCTTGGGAATGCCCCTGGAGATGCCCCTGCTGCAGGAGAGGCTGGGGTGGCAGGGATCCCTTGGGAATGCCCCTGGAGATGCCCCTGCTGCAGGAGAGGCTGGGAATGGCAGGGATCCCTTGGGAATGCCCCTGGAGATGCCCCTGCTGCAGGAGAGGCAGGAGGGCAGGGCTGTGCTGTACCTGGGGTCTCCACTCTCTGGTAGTGGTAGGGGTTGACGCAGACCTCGTCCTTCTTCATGTTGAAGGCGAACTCGCACATCTCCATGGCGCGCAGCTCGTGGTGGCTGTGCAGGTCGGGCCAGCGCCACAGGCGGCAGTAGATGACGTGGGGGAGCCCCTTCCTGTGGGACACCTGCAGCCTTCCATCCAGGGACCTGCACAGGGACACAGGGCTGTGAGCCTGCAGTCAGACAGGGACACACGGCTGCTTCTGCCCTGGCACGGTCACCAACAAACACCTGGCACGGTCACCAGTACCCGGAGCTGCCAGGCCACCGCTGGTGCCCATCCTCAGGGCAAGGATTTCCCTCCAAAAGCAGTAAAATCATGGAATCCCAGCCTGGTCTGGGTTGGAAGGGATCTTAAAGCCCATCCAGTGCCATCCCTGCCATGGCAGGGACACCTCCCACTGTCCCAGGCTGCTCCAAGCCCCAGTGTCCAGCCTGGCTTTGGGCACTGCAGGGGTCCAGGGGCAGCCCCAGCTGCTCTGGGAATTCCAGCCCAGCCCCTCCTCACTCTCACAGGGAACAATTCAGTCCCAGTATCTCATCTAAATCCTCTTTTAGTCTGAGACCATTCCCTGTGTCCTGTCCCTCCATCCCTTGTCCCCAGTCCCTCTCCAGCTCTCCTGGAGCCCCTTTAGGCCCTGGATGAAGCATCCTCAACAAATAATATTTGTTTTATGCAACAGCTATGCTCTGGATTTCCTTTTGGATATCTGGATTTTTAAATTTTTTCTTTACTATTTTATGGTTGATTAGGAGGCAGAGACAAAAGCTACAGCCAGCAAGAACAGGGCAATTCAGTGGTACTGAAAACACTGACATGTCCTAAACAAGCAGGGTTTGCACAGCTCTCAGCCAAATCTGCTGTGCTTGGAAAGGTGTCACATCTTAAACTGTGTGTTAATAAACCTGGACTCTTAAGACACAGATAGATGAATTTTCATTGTGACGAAATCAATATAGATACCATTTATGTAAATTTATCTACTATGTCTATATAAAGTTCAGGAGCCTTACAAACAACCAAGACTTCCAGTTTCATTTTCCAAGTTGCAGCATGAAAGCAAATAGAGAGTTTTTACAGCATTGCTTATTTTTATTTTTACATCTACCCTGTGTCTCCTGCAGCTCATTTTTAAACCTAACCCCAGAACAGCCTTTTCCTAGCAAAACTTCCCAGGAAGCAGGACAAGAGTTTTCAGCTCCTCTCCAGCAGAGGAAAAGGCTGGAGCAGGGTCTCCTCCACCCTGGATGAATGGGAGCTGCCCCCAGGCACTTCCTTTGAAGTCTAACCCTTCATTTCCCTTGCTTTTCCTAATGACCCAAATGAAACACTTCAGGGCTTTGGTGAAATGAAATATTTCTCTTTTTTAATTTGTCAAGGAGAGAGAAAAATAAAGAAAATTGAAATTTTACTCAGAATTATTTCCCCTGGTTCTTTGTGTTGGCAGCAGAGTTAGAAAAACAAAGCGAACCCAAAGCAAAGCACACAAACAATTATCCCAAAGAGGCTGGGCTCATCTTGGCTGCCCTAACAGAGTTTTCCCAAAAGCTGCTCTGGCAGAGCTTGGTACCACACACACCTCTGCAAACACTGCTACAACAACAGGCAAGGCAAAACACAACTGATTCCAGCCAAAACTGGGGAATATTCCCAAGGAGAGTGGCTACACCTGAGCTGCTGGGAAAGCTGGGAATTCTGGTGTTGATTTCACTGGAGGCAAGACTGCAGTGATGTGACCTCAAAACTAATCAGGTTTAAAAAAATACATATCAAAATATTAACTGAATTTAGCAAAAGGAGATGAGACAAGGAATTAACCAGGAGTGCTTCTCCATCCCCCTCACCTCTGCCTGCCTGGCAGCATTTCTGGCATCCAAGTGAGGAAAAAAGAGAAAAAAGAAGGCTCAGAGAGAACATTCCAAGTATCCCACAGTGGGAAGTGTTTCTCCTGCCCCCAGTCTCCAGCAGCACGTGGGCACTGTGGATCTGGGCAGAGCAGCTGAGCTGGGGCATTCACACAAAATGTGTTTGACTTTGGGGTTTCCAAGGATGGGGCTCTCCCTGCTTTCCCCAACAACAACCTCCCGAATCAGCTGGGGTGCAAGGGGCTCTTCTTGCCCCCACACAGGCTCTGCCCACAGCACAGACACAGATGGAATTCCCTGCACCCTTATCTGGAGAGACTTTTTACAATGACACAGCCATCTGGTTTATTTTCCAGTCCAGCAACCTCCCCCTCTCCCCTCCATAAGAGATAAGGTAAAAGGAATGATATTCCCCAAAGCCCTGGGGGTTCCCTGGGTTTTTCTGGTTGGGAAATCTCTCCTCAGGCTCCCCATGAGGGATTTGGGACAAACCAGCATCACCTGCACGTCCCTGAGAGCGTGGCTGGGAACTGGGCAGCTCCACTTGCTGCTGCTGTCCTGCCCCAGCCCTCCAGGAGCATTTTCCTCAGCCCTCAGGGGGCTTTTTGTCCCAAGGAACAGCTCCTGGTGTGGCTGAGATGGGGCAGGAGATGAGAGGAGCCAACACTGCTCTACCCAAGGGGTGACCCAGCACAGTCCATGAGCCATCCCATAATGATCTCCAGGGCACACACAGCTCCTTCCTTCTCCTGGTCCTGTTCTGAAGCACGGGCTGACCCCAAAGGCTGACCCCAAAGCATCCCAGAGCTCAGCACAGCCAGACTTCATTACAATCAGCAGAATTTAACCCCAGATTTCCCTGGGGTCACTGAACTGTTCCTCCCTTTTACCTTTCCTCAAACCAGCCTGGGCTGAGCAGCTCTCCCTGTGCATCTGCCTTGATACATTTATTATTCCATACTATTTAACAGGATTGCTTTTGAAACTACCAATATTTTTTGGGCACAATTTAATACTGGATTTTTCTCCACAAATCCAGCAATGTATTTGCAAGGGTGAGGCCACAGTGTGCACCAGCCAGCCTGCTGCTAAGTTTGTTATCAAAACCTCAGCAATTTGTCAAAGCTATTAGAACAACAATTGTGCTAAATTAAGAAAGAAGAGGCTGAGAAACCAAATACCAAGACCACACAAACTAGATAACAGAGGACTGAAACACCTAGACTATAACCAATCATCTACTCCAAGAAATACAAACAGCAAACGAGTGAACAAGACAAAGACACCAATCAACAAGTGTGTGCATCGTCAGTTGTACAATCTATAAATATATGTGTAATGTAAACAATAAACAACTTCTACTTAATCATATTAATCAGTTATACAAGAGTCCTGCATTTCCCACAAAACCAGCATAATTGGTTTTGTCATCCCAGTATTCCGTGGAGTCCTTGAGAACCAAAAACCCCTCAGGCTGAGCACCTTTGGGATGGATCCATCCTTAAAGCCATTTCCTAGGGAAATGTACCACACCAAGCCGCCTCTCCAAGGCCAAAAGCTGCTCAAAGAGCAAAGGGCATCAGTGAGGCTTTAATGGCAAAACCAGGGAGGGGAGGGAAAAAAATGACAGCAACATCGAAGCTTTATTTTTAAACAATCTGTCTGAACTAAACAGGAGAACGTTGCACAACCTGAATTTGATTTCCAGGCCTGATTGGGGTTTTTTTCTGCTTGTTTGGGGTTAGTTGTTGTTGGGGTTTCTCTGTTGGGTTTGTTTTGTGGTTGCTTTTTTTAACTGTATTTAATTTGAAAGATCCTGGATTGCGAAAGACAAAAAACCCACCCCACGTTCTGAAAGATTTTGGTCAATTTATTTGTTCCTCTTTGAGCATTTAGCAGCTATCTTTAGATGGATACTGAAACTCTGCCTTGCACCCATCCTCCTGCTGTAAAAGCAAAGCTGAAATCAGGGGTGCAAAAACCAGGAGTGCAAATTAAGGAGAGTGATCTAAGCAATCAAATAGTTTTGCCCAGGTTGGAAAAATTCAGATTTACTCCATTAGAAATCCAATCCCTTCCCCTCCCTATCAGTTTTATATCCCTGTTATTAATCTTGCAAGAGAGCAAAATGCCTGGAAAACTCAAGTATCCAGCAACATCACTGTGTGCAAAAAAGGAAAGAAGGAAAAAAAGAAAAACCATCAGGAGAAAAAGTGAAATTATTCACTTTAAAAACCACGAGCAGGAGCTGGTTTTTAAACCCATGACTAGTAAGTTGCCAGTTGCTCTAAAATGCACCAAGAACTGTGGCCACAGGCTGTGATTTTCTCCTGAGCACAGAACAGGGTAAGCAATTCCTTACTGGCCCTGCAGCAGGGAAATTGCATTTATTCCTGCAGCAGAATCTCGTGTTGTGTGCAGAGCTCTGCAATATCCACAGGGCTTCACTGAGCACTTGGAGAAAATCTCAACTTTCCCTCAACAGCGGCCAAATCAACAAGAGGGAATAAAAAAATGACCCACACAGCACATTTGTAACTCCAGAGCTGATCCTCTGCCATCTCTTTCCCCTCAATTTGCTCAGCATCGCTGAATTTTCCAATTTCTGGGGCACTTCTAACAGTGCTGTCATTCAAAGTCTAGAAAAAAAAGTTCCCTGTGTCAAGCTGAGGTTTGCAATGTGCTGCCAGAGAGGAAACTAATAATTAACACTCCTGTTGAAAATTTATAGAAGATTAAAATAATTAATAAATGTAATTTTCAACATATGCCTATGGAGAGGGAAAGTTTTTATAACCTCTAAATGAATGGAGTTAAAGGATTTTCCCAAAGCAAAAGAAAAGTTTTGAGGCAGAGCCAAGACCAGGAGAGAAGAGTGAATCTCTCCCTCAGTACTCTCAGTGATCACCCCTATTCTGTGCTGGTCAATCTCTCATCTGGTTCTTTCTTCCCACTAAAATCCTCTTTTGGATTTGGAAGGAAACCACACATCCTTTACAAAACAACCCAGAGCACCAGGTAAAGAGAAATTCATCTTTTCTTCTGGTGCTGCACATTTCCTCTGCCCGAGTCTCGTTTGTTCTGGGTCTGCAAAGGAGCTGATAATGGCAAAAATTACCAATATCTCCTGTGGAAATGGTTTTTACCTGCCCATTTCCACCCCAGTCCTTGCAGCCTCCCCTTCCCCCTCCAGGGCTGAAGAACTGCAGCCCTGGGAGTTGATGTCAGGATCAGATTATGACAGCATGAGTCATTTATTAAGATTCCAGTAAGCTCTTTAG